TTGAGAAGGGAGCTGCCAGCCAGGCAGCCCCTTCACTGGTCAAGTGTCCTTGTGGCAGCCTTGCTGTCTGAGAAATCTCTCAGTCTGAGGATATCCCAACATCTATAAAGGACCACTACAGGCACAGCTGAAGGCACACTCCAGTCATGACCATTTACCTCAGAATGACTCTGCTTGCCTTCTGCTATTTTCATGTAGGCCAGAGGAGGAACGCTTCCCCTGATGGCCCAGAAGGGGGCCCTAGACACACCATATACTAGAGAGGTAACCAGGCTATTCATCCCATACTCTTTCCTTCTCAGGAGAAGCAGCCACCTGCACTGAAATACTGCGCCCCAAAGGCAGATTCTCCCATTCTCCCATACCATCTTTCCCCTACACTGGCAAGTAAGTGACATCAGTGCAAAGATGGGACGCAGCCTCTGCCACTAACAGGAAACAGCCTGTGAAGGTATGTGATGCTTAATCTTCACTGTCACCTGACTGGATTTAGTGTCACCCAGGAGCCCTACCTCTGGGCAGGTGTGCCTGTGAGGGCATTTCTAGGGAGTAATCCCACTGAAAAGAAAAGCCCCACTGAATGTGGCCAACATCATCTGAGGGGCGGGGATTACAGATTACAGATATTATAAAAAAGAAAAAAAAAGACAAGACAAGAATTGAGTACAAGCCTTTGTCTCTGTCTGCTGACTATGGGTACAATGTAACCAGCTGCCCCACACTCCTGCTGCCATGATGGACACTTCCTTCCCTTAGGTTCTTCTGAGGGGTATTTTGTCATAGTGATAAGAAAATTAACTAACACCCCACACTACTCTGACAGACCACAGCACCCCATCTCTCAAGCCCCCTGGGCAGGAGGAAGTTGGAGGGGGCACTATAATATTAGGACTAGGGTAACCACTGTTCTCCTGGACTTGAGGCCCCCACCCCCACGTTAGGACACTGAGTCAGTGCCACAAGATAGGTTCTTCCACAATCGCAGAGATGTGTCTCCTGAGTCACAACAGATGGAGGATGAGATCCAAAGAACTGAAAACTGCTTGAAGGAACCCCAAGGATGTGGGCAGCGAGGACCCAGCACCAGCCTGCCGCAGGGCTCAGGCTCTCTCTACACACACCTCTTTGGGGTTCTTTGGTGAAGACTAGATCCTCTCAAAGTATCAGAACCATGGATCCACTAGCAAGCCCACAGCTTCTAAAAGCAGAAGGCAGAAGCAGTGTTTTGCAGGGCTTTACAAAACCTCCCCCAAGTGAGGACATCTCAGGCAAAGTTGAGACAGGCCTGTGGGTCTGACAAGATGGAGTCTTCACCGGAGCCTGATTTCAACAGCAAAGCAGCTCTGGGTTTGGCAGGCTCATTGGATGGGACGCTGAGGCAATCTACCTGCAGCTGGCTTGCATGAAGAATGGAGAAAAGCTCCCCAAACAGAAGTCAGTTAGGCAGAAACAGTACTTTCATGTTTGGAATCTCTGAGACTTGTGCGCAGGCTTGGTTTGGTTTCTCCCCACCAACCGAAATCCAAATTCAATTGTGGAAGTGTGACGAGCTGCAGTGACCTCACGCCTACTAGCGTGTACTCGGGCGTGTGTGAGGCATGCTCCTGCCATCCCTGACTCTCAGCATGAGCATTAGGCCCTGGCTGGGAGTCCACGGGAGGGGAGGAGGCTCAGGGCTGTGTATCTGCACTCAAATATAGAGATTAAAAAATGCTAAAGAGAAAGAAGAAAGGAGAGTACACAGCTGCCGTCCCCCAAACAGACCTCCCATCTGCCACCCACGATTTGCATGTCACCTTCTCCGGGCTCATTTGTACTTCATTAACTGCCATTGACTTAACAAGATTTATGCAAATGACACCATAGGAGCTCCCTAACTCCCACTGCAATCAAGTGATTATGTATGTACAACTTGCCACAGCGATGAAAAATTAATACGTGACAAGCCCACTGGCCGCTGAGCTGGGCCGCTGGCTTTTATTTTTCTTGCTTTGCTTTTTTCATTTCTACTCAAATAGACCTTTATACTATTAGTAAGAAAAGAAACAGGACTCTGCAAATCCATCTACTTTGGGTACCCAGACAGGACAAAAAGAAAAAAGAGTTGGACCCAGATCCTGAAGAAATGAAGTTATAGCCTAGAAAACAATTCCTTACTCTTGAGGAACCTGTGATTGGGGGAGGAGAGAAATAAAGTCACTGGTAATGGTGACTTGTGTCAAAGTTAAACAAGAGGAAGGTAACCCATGCACATGGGCACCCTGTGCAACAAGGCAGGTCACAGGGCATGCAGATTACCTCACTCCATTCCTAAGCACTTGCAAAATTCCTGTGAAGGAGTAGAAAAGTGTGAGGACCAAGTGAAGTGACTCTTCTATGCCTTGAGGTCAATGGTCCAGCAGCTGGATGGAGCTCAGACAAGTCTCAACCAGGATTCATTGAAGACCAAGGACTCTGTTCTTTGTGAGAGGGACACAGGGGGCAGTTGCAAATGGACAGCAGCTGCACATTCCTGCAGCATCCCTGGAGAAAGGCACTGCTACAGGCATAGCCTCAGCTGTTTCTTCTACACAGCACAAGACATTTGTGTGTGAGGTGAGGGTTCCCATGTTTGATTTAACACCTATCACTTGGGGCTGAAGAGATGGCTTAGTGGTCAAGAACACTAAAGGCTTTTACAAAGGACTCAAGTTCGGTTTGCAGCACCCACATGTGGTGGCCCACAACCACCTGTAACTCCAGTTCCAGGGCATCCAATACCACCTTCTGGCCTCTGTGAGTACCTGCATACACATGGTGCACATAAAACTAACACAGGCACACACACATCAAAGCAACAATCTTTAAAACTGTAACTTTATTTGGAGGCTTCTTGTCACTGTGGAGTGGAAAGAACACAAATGTGAGGTTCCCGCCTTCCCAGCTACCTAGTCCTGAATGGTCATCCTGTTTAACTTGCAATCAAAATAACCTAATGGCCCCACTCCACAATGCCAGGGTTTAAGTGGGACACAAACAACAACAACAACAACAACAACAACAACAACAACACCCCAAAGCACATGGATAACAAGCTCTCATTTGGATGACCATTTATTTAAGGAGAATATAATCAGTGTCCAAGAGTGGAAAGCTTCCCAAGGAATACAGAGCCCTCGTTTTACACTAGACTGTCACCTTCAGTCTTTGCAAACTGAAAGTCCAGTTTGAGAAGGAGGCCCTGTTCAAAGATGAGCAGGGAACAAATTAAGTGAGGCTCCAATTACACCAGGGTGTGGCTGGCTCACCTGGGAGTTTCCTGCTGAGACAGTGAGCATCCCCACCCCCCAAGCCAAGTCAGTTATGGACAGGAATCACAAAAATGTCCATTAAGTAGCAATCTTCTTCAGTGTCCCAGCACCAGTTTCTCAAGTGAATAACAGCTCAATAATGTTTATAACTCTAGATGAAATGACACTGCACAGAAGTCATACATTAAAATGGCTTTGCATAAAGTTACAATTAAATAAGCAACACGAGTAAACAACTATGTACATGGCCCTCAGAAGTAATAAACCTGTTTACAAGGAAAACACAGCCCATCACTTGGAAGGCTTCTTGCCTTGTATGTAAACACATGCAAGGTAAAAATTTTTCTTCAGCATGCTGCAAGCTGGGCCCCAATCTGTCACCCAGTACAGTAAGGGTGGTCCTACACAGAGGCACAGTGGCTTGGCTAAGGCCTGTAGGCTGCCCTCCCCTGGGTCAAAGGCTCACACTGCCCTGTGGGGAGAGGTATATATAGCACACAGGCCACTCTGGTCTGCAGCTGGAGGGTGGGACTGCCATAGTTTTGGTTTCTCAGAAATCCCCTTAGGCTTTTTAACTCCCACATCTCCGATATGAAATGGTACTGCTTCTCACAAGGGCTGCAGCCATTAGCTGCAAACAGGTGAAACCTGCACCGCTGAGGAGAGCCTGCTATATCTGCATGAATATGCTTCCCCTCCCTCAGAGACTATGCTTGAAGGCCAAGTGGAGCTGGGCGGCAGCTATGGAAAGGGCGACAGATGCCCTAGATCATCCAGAGCTAAGAATGGGCCACCAGTGCCATCCGTGGAAGGCAGAGCTATTTCCTGCGCACAGATTTCCTGCCCCCACCCCAACAGAAAAAACACACTCTAAATCAATTGGCTTTCTTTATCAACCAAAAAAGATGACATTTGCAGAGCCGCTGAGCAGGCCTGAACTCTTTATTCTTATTGTTTCGGAAATGAAGCAGCAAAAGACGTCACACGTGAATTCCAGTGTGTCTTGCTAGAGACGTGAAGCAATTTAGTACCCAGTTTCCGGGCTAATGAAAACCCATTTCAGGCTAGCAACATTGGCCAAAACAAATGCTTGAATTCAAGTCCTGTTGTGTAATGGGGAAGTTTAATTAAGGCCCCACATTACAGCTGTAAATGTTCCTGTGTATAATAAGGTCTAAATGAAACTGAACCTAATCAAAGTTACAATCCCTTCATTAGCAAATTACAAACAAGAGCGCACAGCTGACACGCCAGCTATGATTATTACAACTAATTGCCTCGTTGTTACAGACCAGCCTGAAACAGTGTTCAGATGTCCGTCTGCAAGAGCAAATTAGGGCCACATCAGGCTATTCCTGTGATCACAAGGGGTTCTTCTGCAGCGATCTGATTTACCCCTGTCGCCTGGCGGCCAGCGGCCCAATCAAAGCCACGCTACAAAGGCAGCCTTTGAAGCCAGTGCAGCATGGAAACACACTCCATATGCAGGCGGGCAGACCGCACTTCATTAGCGCTGTTGTCGAATTTCCCTCTTCTTATTCTAATGATCCCATTTTAATACACACAGGAACCCCTTCTAATTGATGTCAAGTGAGTGACTTCTACATTCATCAACAGAGCACATCAAACAAACCCTGGTGCCCGAGCCAGCACCATCTCAGGCTGCACTGAGGTGTGGCTCCAGCGAGGCAGGGAAGGGGACAAGTGTACCTGTTTAATTGGGATGGCTCGCCCGCTCCCGATGCTGTCCGCACGGCTCTCCAGGCCTTTCTTCTCTTTGTCTGGGTCGCTCCCTTTCCTAGACTGCAAGCAAAAGTAAAGTTAGCATTTGGGCAAGGGTTGTGGCTATCAGACGGGTCTCGCCCCTACATCCAGAGCTCCCGCCAACAGGATTCAGAACCGACACCCCCAGCCGTTTGTCTGCACTGACTCATCATTCCAAAAGAATTTTCTAAACTTTCCCCCTGACTTTTCTACTGCGAAATTATCTTTTAATTCTTTTTTAAAGAGTTCAAAATGCAATTACTAGAAACCAATGGACCATCCAGGAAAGCAACACCCAACGAGAAAACACATTCTAGAGCTGCGGTTAGCACAGCTGAGCAGAAAGGGGCCCTCAAAGGTTATCTGGAAGCCCAACTACAGAAATGTATGGATTAAATTAATGTCCAGATGATTTAAAAAGTCTATTAACCACTCAGCGGTGTGACTTACTGGTATACCCCTGGTGAGCTGTTTCAAGGGGCAAGCAATGTTTCCTTTTATTGCTTCTGGACGGTTAGAAAACAGCAATTCAAAGTTAAAGCAGTCTACTGTGCAACAAAAAGATAACGGAGGCAAGAAGTGAAAATCTCTTTCTGACAAAATGTCAATATTCCGAGTGCAATGAGCAACTGTTTGTTTGCCAGGTTCTCGAGCCAATTATCTTGGACGGATCTGTGGATGCTATGTGAACTGCCCAGTAGCTGGCAGGTGTAGAGAGGAGGGCACCTGGGGAAAGCTGCAGGAGCGCCAGCCACCGTCCATGTCCCATCTCCTGCTGGCATGAGCAAGCGTAAGCGTGGTGATTGTCTGACAGATTTATTTTATTATGAGAGAAAGATCTGAGACTCCTCCTTAATAACAGTGCTGACAAGTGACAACTTCACTCCATTACTTTCCAATGGGAACATTACTCACGCAATATTGAAAATGGAGAAACATTTTCCTGTGCTTTTCAAATCTGAGATGATATATGAAACGAAGAGACTCGGTAGTGTCCGGTGCTGCTGGGAGCAGCTAATGAAATTCAGATTCAAAGGGATGTGGAATGGAGCAGACGATGCTTCTAAAGCAGTGTCCAAAAGGGCAAGGCCCTGAGAGGTAATAAAAGCAAGGGCTGACAGGACAGACCCAAGATTCCAGGACAGGTTACTGCCAGAGACCCAGAGAAAAGTGCCTGTGATATCAACTCAGCAAGGGCACTTCAAAGGTGGTGACTTTGTCACGTGGCCACGCACGTGAGAAAGCTAGCTTCTTAGCTGATTACAGGGGCTTTTGCATTTATCAAATGCCTCCTGGGTCCTCCATGCTGTATGCCATCATCACGGACCTCAGCTATGCTACAGAAACCCCTTTGGTCTTTACTCTTCAGCTAGTAACGCATAGCAAGACTTGACGTCAGTTGGTGGGAAGGTGGGCACATGAGGTTTCCAACTGGAAAATTAAGATCCTAAGCTCAGGGCCGACAATATTTCAGAAATTCTGAACCAATGGAGAGCATTAAGAGCATTTGGGGAACTTTAGCAGTTCTAAATACCTAAATTTGAAAATCCATCTTCATTATTCTCCATTAAGCAGAATAATTAACAAAACAAACATTTTAAAAAAATGAACATTTTCCTGGAGGCGGTGCGTCTGTCCCCAGTCGCTGTTCTCTGAGCAGAATTCCTGATTCCGTGGAATCAGGAAGCAGCAGACAGAGTTGCTGAACACTGCACATGGTTCCAAATATGTAAAGAAACAAGAGCTGTGCTCCGCACAATCACAGGCTCAGAGACCAATGAGACAGAAACTCAGGGTACACATTGGAAAAAAAGGAAATCCATCAACGACGGTGCCACTTTTGGGGAAAGTGTCATCAAACTAAAGGAGCTCCAACAAGCTAAGCTGCTGGGCAGAGGGTTTGCCGTCGACTACAACAGGAGACTGGAATCCAACAACTAAACCACAACCAATCCTCTAGATATGAAACCCTGCACCTCTAGATCCCAAGGGGAAGACTCCTTACTCTCCTGTCCACTTCAGAGATTCCAGTGGTACGTTTCCTCCCCTCTCTGCCAGAACTGCTCATTAGATGCTGCTGGCAGCCCTCGGTACCCATTGCTATAGCCAGCCTGCTGCATTCTTCAGAACCAGAGTTTCTCACACCCATTGCACATCTGGAGACTTAACGCCACCAGAAGGACTGTTGAGCCCCAGACAGCGGAGACACATTCAAAAATGTGTAACTCCCTATACGCAATAAACAAAGTTCCTTGTACACCTGGCAGAGAATCATGACTGGCAATGCTGCCTATCAAACAGCCTGTTTTCTCAGCTCCAACCAATAAAGCAGGAGCAGATGGAAAACACCATGCCAGGCTTCAGGGCTCCTGCTCTCCGCAAGACACTAAGTGTCAATTCTTTTATCATATGGATCTCATTGTCCTTTTTTTTTTTTCTCCCCTGAACTTCTCTGAGTAGGTCCAGGTTCTTTGCAATCTTTGGGTACTGGTATGCTTATCTGTTTAATGGTATCAGCACCACACAGCAAGCTTTTAAAACACCACGGAAAGACACAATTCTTTAAAAGCGTGAAAAAACATAAAGCAACGCCAAACAGAACTTAAGGAGCCTTGCCAGCTCCACACCCACAAAAGCAGGCAACACACAGATACCCACTCAGGTAAGTGGCAAGCCCTGGAATGGAGGCAGGCAAATGGATGAGGAGGCATGGACTTTCACTGAGGATGTGTGTCCTTCATGAAGCAGTGACTGCAACCTGATCAATCTGATGATTATCACAGAGAATACATATGCAGTTTTTATTTTTTGTAATTCTTATATATTTCAAAGTATTTTTCAATAAAATATTTCAACTACATGTCAATCAGGCTACTAAATGAACTGTTCTAAAAAAAATTCTTCATTTCTAAAGCAGGCACCCAATGGGTCATCTTTTGATGTTTCATTTCTCAAGGCAATGGCCTTACAGAAAACATGATACAATTTAAATTCCCATTGGCAAGGCATACATAATTGCCACTGCAAAGTAATGTATAACATGCTACAACTGGAGTGATTTAGTTTATATAACCTCATGTAAAATACTGTGTGTTTGTAAACAAAGCATCTGAGAGCTGAAGAAGTTATCCTTGTGTGGCACAGAACCATTTTAAAAGACAAGTGAGGGCGGGATGAGAACTATGTACATACAGATGGCCTCCAGGTTTTTAGAATGAGCTAATAGAGAAGTGGACAGAGCCCACCAGCTAGCTGCATTCACACTGGGCTGTGGAACAGTACCTAAGATGGTTTGCATCTGGTACAACCGTTGACAGGTCTAAACACATACACACTTTGACAATGTTAGTCAAATGTCACCCACAGCGACAGAGATGAAGACTCTGCAAGACTGGACATATTTAAAGATAGAAGCAAGCTGTTACCTATTGAAATCTGGATTCTTAATTGCTCAGATTTCAGAATTAATTCACCTTCTTTTCATTCCTGGTATGACACTGACATCTAGTGGAGTCGATGTTTCCAAGTCCTTCAAACTCAAAATGCTCACCACCACCTCTACTGCCATTCTACCCAATGGCAGAGCCAAACCTGGGAGCAACCCATTTGCTGGCCCTTTCTTGGAATTTCAGCGAACTGATCCTTAAATGCCACAACACAAACCTGTTGCGTTACTAGATTCTTGCTGGACCCAAAATTTCTGTCCCATGAACATCAGCTGGGCAGCTGGATTCAACTTTTTTTAAAAAATGCTTTGCTCTGAAACTGTCTTCTGACATTACAGAGGAAGAGAGCAAATACAATGCACACGTGCAGCCAGTGGCATTCTAAGACATGTCAGTTATGATGCAGTTGATCGGCATCTTCCATCACTGTGTTTTTAACCAGCTTGTATAAGACCTGTAACTCTACGGCTTGCTGGCCTTTCTTTCTCTTTCATTGTGGCCATGTGGCCAGCTCTGGCCATGAGCATAACACTGAGCACAGCCAGGGCTTTCAAAAGCAGCTATTATTAGCCAAGTCATTTTTCCTCCTTTTTCTTCAGGTCCTTAGGAGGTCATGGGAGTTGTCAATCATCCAGGCCCCAGTATCTTTTTGGATAGAGGGACAGGATCTCCTTACAAATGGTTCTGTTTAAAACACTATTTCCTGGATTTCATATTTCTTTCAGATGGTAGAAACCAAAGTTAATGCACACTGAATGGTGCTAGGCAGGAACCAACGGCTGGGCCTCCACAGCCACTCCTAACAGTGTAGAGTGGGGACACAGAAACTTCTCATCCATCATTCCAGGACTAGTACATTCCTGAAGCCCAATGCCTCTGGAGCCGGCTGTGGCTTCGGCTATTGGGTTTTTGGACCTATTGAGTCACAAGTGGATGAGTACCCTTTTTATCTAAGAGTCCTATTCTGGGTGTCCAGCTAGAAACCAACTGTTCATGTGACTGCTCATGTTGTATGTCTAAGAAACTTTACAATGCACCATCTTACATTTCTGTAGTCTATGAGACACTTGCCTGTACAATCATCAGACACCTGCCTGTACCATCATCAGACACCTGCCTGTACAATCTTCAGACACTTGCCTGTACCATCATCAGACACCTGCCTGTACCATCATCAGACACCTGCCTGTACCATCATCAGACACCTGCCTGTAACATCCACCTGCCTGTACCATCATGAAACACCTGCCTGTACCATCATCAGACACCTGCCTGTAGCATCATCAGACACCTGCCTGTACCATCATCAGACACCTGCCTGTACCATCATCAGACACCTGCCTGTACCATCATCAGACACCTGCCTGTACAATCTTCAGA